ATCCATCCATCCATCCATCCATATATCCACCCACCCATCCGCCTGTTCATCCATCCATACATCTGTCCATCAGTCACATGTCCACCCATCCGTTTGTCCATTCTTCCACCCACTCATCCACTCACTTGCTCATTTATGTGTATGTCTGTCTATCCACTCGCCCACCCTTCCCTCACCTGTCCATACATCCATCTACTCATCTATCCATTCATTCTTTCATCCCTTCATCTACCTACGTGTCTACCCATCCTTTCACCCACTTGGTCATTCACCCATCCATTCATCCCACCTGTCCACCCACCTGTTCCTCATCACCTGTCCATTCCCTTATTCATTTAGGCCGAGAAGCACCAGAGCTGAGGTGTTGCAGGAGGGAGAGACATTGGTGAGGAATGATGGCCTAGGTAAAGACTTTCAAAAGGTTTGTGCTCTTAGCCACTGGCCTGATGAGAGCTGGGATAAGGGTACATAGTGTTCCCATCTTCCCTAACTGGAAGCAGAGGTCATTACTATTCTAACTTTGTTAGGACAGGTGTGCATAGACCAGTATATTATTTGTGTTTTAATAAATAAAGCTTCCGAGCCTAGGCAGTTTGGATGCTCACCTTCCTAGACCTGGATGGAGGTGGGTGGTCCTTGGACTTCCCACAGGGCAGGGACCCTGATTGATCTTTGGGCTGACGAGGGAGGGGGACTTTTTTGGGGGAGGGGGAGGAAAATGGGAGGCAGGGGCAGGGAAGAGACAGAAATCTTCAATAAATAAATAAATAAATAAAATTGAAATATTCTGCTCCAAAAAAAAAATCTGAATAAATAAATAAATAAAGCTTCCTGAAGGTCGGTGCAAAGCAGCCACACTAGTCAGCCATACAGGCCAGGCAGTGATTGCATACACCTTTAATCCCAGCAGCCACTAGTTAGCCATAAAGGCCAGGCGGTGGTGGCGAACACCTTTAATCCCAGCACTAGAGAGGAGTATAAGGCAGGATGAGACAGGAGCTTGTTCTCTTTCAGCCTGAAGATTTCATAGAGGGAAGAGCTCTCTAGTGGCTTGGCTGCTTGGCTTCTCTGATTTTCAGGTTGAATCCCAATTCTGTCTCTGGGTTTTATTATTTGTGCTACAGACCAGAGTTGGCCAAAAGGATTCAGGGCAGCGCCAGGCTTTCAGTGCCTCCGGTGGTGATCTGGTTGCCTTCCCTGTAGGCCTGACCGATGGCTTCCTGCACCCCAGAGCCCAGCCCAGCCACTGCTGCACTGTGAGCAGCCAGTATTGCTGACAGGGAGGGTGGGTTGATCAGGTTTCCAAATGTGAGGCTGTTTATGATTTCTGCCTGTGGCTTCTCTTGAACCCTCTGGAGGTGACTTCCGGATCAGAGTGGAAACCTGTTTTCCTTTTTACAGGCAGTGGAGGCCAGTATGTTTTAATGCCATTAAGTGCTGAGAGAGAGGGGAAGGGATTAGGTTTGTCTAAAGTTGGAAGGAGGCAGGGGGAGTGGGTAGAGCCATTGAATGAGCTTGTTGAGTCTTCTCAAGGGGTGTCAGGTTTCTCAAAAGGAAACCTGGCTTCTAAGCCTCTGTGGTAAGTGAGACCCAGCCTGGCTGCTCCAGTGGCATTTTTGGCGTCTCCATGTCCCCAGTTTGCTTCTGCAATGGCCATGCACCTGGACAGTGGAGGGGACATTGGCGTGCTCACAGAGATGTGGGGTCGTTCAGTGATGTTTGACGAAAGGCCACTCCAGGGGTGTGCAAACATCTGTGACTGACACCAAGAGCCAGACTCAGTTTGGGGTTGCTGTTTGCCCAGAAAACATTTTCAGTCCATTCCCGCCTTGGCCAACTCAGGCAGAAGTGCAAGTGGAAGCAAGCCCCGTATAACAGGGAGATGTGATCATATTTATCTGCCCTCCTCTTCTTGCAGAGCTCTGGAATGTTCATTGTGGCCCACTATGTGATTACATAAACATGGGAATATCTGGAGAGTCCTCAGGGCAGGGAGGGATGACTGGAAGGAGTCTAAGAGCACGAGGAAGCCGCACCAGAAGCTGCGCTAAGCTGTGCGAGCTGGCTCGCAGCACTAGGAGGCTGAAGTAGGAGGACCGTTGTAAGTTCAAGGCCAGCCTGGGCTACAGTGTGAGGCCAAAGAAGAAAAGGAAGTTGCTAGATTGGTGCCTTTTCCCCAGAAAAGAGGGAGGACAGAGGTGCACAAGGCAGTGGATGCTCAGGCAGGGAATGACAGACAACCCAGGGCAGGCTGGGGTGGCACTGATACTGGCTACGCATCATGCTCTGAGGATCAGGAAGGTGAACTTGCACCTTCCAGACCCAGTAACATCTCAGCAGAGAAGTGTCCGATGCCAGGGTGGTGAAGGAAGCAGCTGCCTGAGTAGGCGAGTGGGGCGTACACAGGGTCTAATTACTTACAGAATAAAATTATATACCTTATATGCATACACACATACACATTGCTTATACATGTGTACTTGCACATATATAGACATATCGATATGCATGCATATATTCCACCCCTGAGTAAAGCTCAATGGATAAAGTGTTTGTTGCACAAGTGTGAAGACCTGGGTTCAAACCCCAGAGCCCAAGTGCGGTAGCAGGCCCTTGTAACCTCAGCCACAGGGAGGCAGAGACAGGAAGATATTTAGGGCTTACCAGCCAGGATCCAGGTTCAGTGAGAGAGATTCAGTCTCAAAAACCACACACACACACACACACACTTTACCATTATGAGCCAGGGATTATTATTTTAACATGGGAGGCACCAAAAGGTCATTTGTAAAAGACCTGCTCTTTCTCAGATCCTTGTTCTGTGGTTTTGAGGACACGTAGCTAGGCTGGATGGTTCCAGCAGATACTGGAGATGCTGTGGCCAAGAAGCACCCTGTCAGTAGCCAGACAGCCAGAGCTGGCCTGAGACCTGCCCACAGCTCCCTTAACAACCGCCTCCCTTCTCCCAGAGAGCACAGGAAACTAAAAACAAAGATGTTAGTGGGGTTGGGATGAAAAGCTCCAGAGAAGCATGTTTGAATAGAGAGAGAATAGCCAGGGCTTAAAACAAATAGATACAGGAGCTACTTATGACAATGGGTTCATTAGGACTTTTCCTGCCGTGTGCAATGCATTTGGGTCCCTCCACCTCCCTTCCCTGCTCTTCCTCCCCCGCCCTGCCCACACCACCTGACCTTCCTTTTCTCACTTGTCCCTCTACTGTTTTGATGGCTCTAATTTCTCTGGTGACCGATGAGTGTCATAGAACCCTGTGTTTTCAGGAGCATGGCTGGGAGGGGGTTATCCACAGAAGCATGGGCAACTCACCAGTGGCTATACCACTGCAGAAAATCTCCCTCCCTCCCCCATCAGCCAGTATCCGTGTGTAAAGCCTCAGGGAGGGGTGGGGCTTCATGAGCCCTCCCCCTGCAACTATAAACTGAGTGCCCTTAGGAAGAGGGTGGAGCTTCATTGGCCACTCCCCTGGCAACTATTAACTGTGACTCCTTGGCAAGGGGGCCTGGCCTGGTGTGTTCTTCCTTTATCCATGATGGAATGCTGACCAGGCTGATCTCTCACGGGTCTTGTAAAGAATTATTTATATTCTCTGAATGTTGGAACCAGAGCATGGAGCAGTCTGGATCTTTCATTTTGTATTTTCTTCCCAGAAGGCTTTGTATGTTTCTCCAGTTCCAGAGGGCCCTTGAGTTCCTCAGAGATTCGCCTCAACTTAGCAATCCGCATACACTCCTTTCTGAACAATCAGAGCAGACAGGGAAGTGTCCAATGTCTCCAAGCACGCACACTCCCTGGCTAGGGGTTCTGTACTTCTGCCTCAACCTCCCCAGGATCATAGCCTCCTCTTCTGGGGACCCAGGGACCCCGGAGACCGGGAGGTCTCTGATGGTGGATGTTGCATATCAGGAGAGTGGGCTAGCATTTCTGATTGTTCCAGTGACTACGCCGGGGATAGGGCGTGTTTGGGATAAATGTGTCTGAGTTGCATGCATGCCTCTACTGTTTCTGGCAACTCTGATAGCCCACTCCCCCCCCCCTTTGGCTTCTGTCCAACAGCCCATTTCACATCTGCCTTTATAAGATGAAGCCACCATGCTGCAGGGGTGGTCCAGAGGCCACTCTGAGCTCCCCAACGTTGGTAACCTTCAGGGTCCACATGTCCTAGCGCATCTCTGCTCTGAACATAGGGGTGCTGAGTGATGGCTCGCTTCTGTACATTTTTGGAGTGCTTGAGAATTAAACCCAGGGCCTTTCACGTGCTAGGCAAGTGCTCTACCATTGAGTTACGTCCCCAGCCCTCCTACATCTTTTCTGTGTCTGGAATTAAGAACATTCCTGTGGCTGTAAATATTTTCCTCAAGAGGAAAAAAGAAAAACAAAAAGCCAGCAAAACCCACAAAATCAGGCTCGATGGCCATGTCCCAGCAGAGTTGTATTTATTGGCATGAGAAACATTCCTTACCTATTGTGACTTATTCTTCTAACTGGATTGTAAAAACAGTGCTCATAAAGTCATGCCTTTCTTGTAAGAAGCCAGTCAGGGGCTGGGGAGGTGACTCCGTTGATAGAGGGCTAGCCTGGCATGCAGACACCCTGGGTTTAATCTCTAGTACCTCATAAATCCAGAGTAGTGGCTATAATATCAGCACCGAGGAGGTGGAGGCAGGAGGGTCAGGCGTTAAGGTCATTGTTGGTTGCATATTTGAGGCCAGCCTTGGCTATATGACACACTGTCTCAAGAAAGCAAAGCATCCAGAAAAAGCTAAACAAGCAGATTGTGCCCGTTGACTGTGTGCAGAGCGCCCACATGGCGCTGTGTGGCGGGGCTGGTGAAGGCTTAATTCTTCTTTTATCTTTGAGGGGATCTCTTCCCCAAGGCCTGCAGACTCGATTCTGTGGGGCTGGGAGGTGTGTATATGTTGTGGGAAGCAGGCTGACTAGGCTGGTGTCATCTACAGCTCCCGACTGTGTTTGTTTTTCAGTGACATATTTGATGCCATGTTTCCTGTCACTCACATCGCTGGGGAAACGGTTATACAGCAAGGTATGTTCCCCACCAGATGCTCAGTATCTACCCTGATCAACTTAAGAAACTTCCAGGGGTGGTGGGCGCTCGAGAGGCTGAGGCAGGAGGATTGTCATGAGTTCAAGGACAGTCTAGGCTATGGTGTGAGACTCCAAAATAAATAAATAAATAAATAAATAAAAAGACAGTATTAGGAAAGCAGAGGCAGGCAGGCCTTTGTGAGTTCAAGGCCAGCCTGGTCTACAGACCAAGTTCCAGGACAGCTAGGTTTACATAGTGAGAGAAAGAGAAAGGAGGGGGGAGGGAGAGGGAAAAGAGGAGGAGGAGAGAAGGAAAAAGAAGAGAAAAAGAAACTAACGCAATGCAGCACGATGGTAGTGTAAGTCTGTCCTCACAGCAGTTCGGGAGGTTGGGGCAGGTGGATTTCGAGTTCAAGACCAACCTGAAGAACTTAATGATTGAGAAGAGTTCTGGGGGTGGGGGCATGGCTCGTCGGTAGAGCCTTTGCTTGGCTGTGCATGAGGCCCTGGGTTCAATTCCAGTATGCAAGAAGGAGAGGGGGCCCCTATGCCCAGGAACCGGCACCTGGGGCTGGTATTTACTCGATACTGGCTGGCACACGTCGTTGCAAGGGTTCTTTGCCGGGCGGTCGAGAAGCTCGAACTCATTTCATTTTGTATTTTACATCTGCTGTCTCTTTGTTTTGTTGTAGGGAACGAAGGAGATAATTTCTATGTGATTGACCAAGGAGAAGTAGATGTGAGTATCCGCCTTGGCTTCTAGACAGCGGGTCCTCTTCGCATGCTTGCTTTTAAGTCTTTACACAGCTTTGCACTAGGTCTTGCACATGCAGGCCGAGAGCATTTCTTTCTGAGTAGATTCCCAATGTATGTGTGTGTGTGTGTGTATGTATGTATGTATGTATGTATGTATGTATGTATGTGTGTATGTATGCATTATTGTGCTAAGGGTGAAATTCAGGACTTCCGGCACTGAGGTGGGTTTTCTGTCACCCACAACACCAGTTTCTTACTGGGGGATTCTAGGCAGGAACTTTAGCGCTGAGCCACACCCCCAGCCTCATTTTAATTGCTTTATTCCAGACCAATAATGCGTTTTATCTAAACAATGCTATAAGGCATGAAAGCCCAGTTGGGAAGGAAAGCTGCTTTAGGCAGGTGCAGGGCCAGTGGGGTTCTTTGTTGTTTATTGCTCTCACGCAGAGTCTGGGTGGAGAGCAGCCTAAGGTGTTCTGTTTGGCTAGTCCCTGCCAGCAAATGCCACACCAGCTTGCTGTGGATGTTCATGGTTGTCACGTGGGCAGGAATATCCATGTCTGGAGACCCTACAGGTACTGATGTCACATGGGGTGACAGTCACATTTTGTGCCAGCATGCACCCATCCTCAGACAGCAAGCTTCGCTGAGGGACTCTCAGGACCAAGGGCTTGCATGTTTATAGAGCCCTTCCCCACTGTAATGTTAGAAGCATCCCCTACAGAGATCCCACCTTCAGTCAAGTCCTCCTCTCTTCTACCTCCATGGTCACCCCTGCCCAAGCCCCCAGTGCTCTGGCTGGAAGGGCCCTGGTTTCTTCATGTCTGAGTCCTGTTCCCGGAGCATGTTTCCCTGAGTTGAGAGACCTACTTCCTGTCCAAACCCTCTATGGCTTTGTCTCTTTAACTATTTTTTTTTTTTTTTTGAGAGAGGGTCTAAGTTTGTAGCCCAGGGTATCTTCAAGCTCCTGGTAACCTTCCTGGGTCATCCTCCCAAGCGATATGATAATGCTCATGAGCCACCACACACGCCTGTTTGTCTCTAGGTCAGTCGGGGGCCTTTTCTTGCCTCCAGAGTCTGACCACTGCTGGGCTGCCATAGGCCTGGGCTGTTACTATCCTTATGGGTGCACCCTACTTTCTTCTGCTGTCACCTGAGTACCTGCTTCTCCCTTCAGGGTCCCATTCCACATCAGATCTTCAGGGTGGATATCAACAGGCGCACCATGTGTCCTTCCCTGATGGTTCAGTTACTCCTTTGAGGCTGCTTCTGTGGCCCATTTCTTGAAGGTTTGTCTTCAGATGGACCAGAGGATATGGGCAGAATCTCCCCAGGACATTTTAAAGTCCTTAAGGTTGCTGGTCTTTCCTAGGCCATCTCCAGAGTTATGGCTGGGCTGGGACTCAGCATAGACACATCTTTTCAGTTAGCCATAGCTTGTGCCCCACCTGTCCGAGGGGACTTGCTCTGCCCTCCATGGCCTCAGGGGTGTCCAGGCCACACCCTGCCTGGTGCCTTGGGGTTAGGCAAGCTATTTTGGGCCTGGCCTCTGCTCCTGAGCCTCTGTCCAGCCGGGCTATTTCTGGGAAAAGCCTTTTCTGATTTCCCCAGCAGCCTGACTTTGTCCCACAATGCATTTCTGGGAACCGCACTGGCCCACCTGCTTCCGGAGCCACCACATAGGAAGTGACTCACCCTGGCGTCCAGAGGGGGGCACAGGCAGGGTTGACCTAGTGAATCTGACGACTCAAACCCTGGGTCTGGGTCTCAGGGGAGGGAGGGCCTCCTGTCTCCCCAAACAAGGACACTGAGTCGGGAGCTAGCGATCTCTCGGGGGACTACTCACTCAGAGGAAGTGTGAGGTGGAAGATTTAAAAGTGGCTCTGATGCCACGCTCTGCTGTGACCACGGTCACATCCTTCTGTTGTGCTTCAGTTAAAACAAACAAACAAAACAAACATTCATGAAAAACGCAGCCCAGAAAACAACTGGGACCCTGCCCTACCCAGGTCAGGTCGGGTAGGGAGGAGGTGAGTGCTTGGTCCCTGGCAGTTTGTATAAGTGGGTCCCGAAGACCTGTCTCTCCAGCTCTCTGTTGGAAGTGGTGTTGATGGGTTGAGAGGCTGAAGGCTGAGAGGTGTGGGTGACTTGTTTCTAGTTTTTAGTTTATTATTGGTTTGGTTTTCAGGTAGCACAGGCTGGCCCACACTTCCTATGTAGCCAAGGATGGTCCTGAACTCTCAATCCCGCCTCCATTACCTCAGTGCTGTGCCAGGCGTGGAATCCAGGGTTTCTGGGCATATCAGGGAAGCACTTGACCAGCTTCTCTAGTTTGTGCGCATTGCTCCTCCACTAAGCCCTGCTCTCAGGTTCCTGTCCACTCCTGGCTCCCCAAAGCACCACTCATTGCTTTCCTCTTGCTTCCTAAGTGTTTGCTAGCTCTTGCTCTCCTGGGCCTTGCCAGCTCCCTAGTACCCTGGAAATAGTAGACACGGGCCTGCCCTGGGGGTGGTGTGTTTGTCATCATGCGGTAGATGACAATCATCAGGAAGCTAATAAACAGGGTCTCACACCTCTGGGCCTCTGCTTTCCTGTCTTTTCTGCTTCTTACTTTTGTTCTGCTGTGTAAACTCTTGTTCATCCTTCAATGCCCTCCAGACCCAGCTCCTCTGTTTGTGCTTGAGCACTGATAAATGCTGACCTAGTGAAAACAGAAAACCAGACCCTCCTCCAGTAGCCTGCCAGGGAGCCCATGTGGGTTCTGACCTGGCCCATCCACCCCCCCCCAACCCCCAAATGTACTAGTGCCTCCTCCATCTTTTCCCTCCCCCTTATTTTTTCTTCTCTTCCCCCTCTTCTTCCTCCTCCTCCATCTTTTTTCTTCTGGTTCACAAGTATTCCAACCTGATCTCAAAGTCCTTGAAATGTCCTTGAACTTCTGATCCTCCTGCCTGTACCTACCTCCTGAGTGCTGGGCTTACTGACCTGGGTGGCCATATCTGGTTTATGTGGTGCCTGGGGATGGAACCCAGGGCTTCAAGCATACTAAACAAGCCCTCTACCACCTGAGCCGTAGCTCCAGCCCGAAATGTGCTCTTCTTTGTGTTCACCAAAGTCACCTAGCATCTTTCAGTTCCATCTCAAAGACAAGGCTGGGGTGACCCCAGGGAATTCTGGATAACACATTCTTTGGTTTCCCAAAGTAAGTAGATGTAGGAAGAGTGCCCCCGAGGTTATTTCACGGAGTTCCAGAACCCCACACGTGTGCATCCACAGGAAGGCTGTGGGTGGGTCAGAGCCTTGTGCCACTAACCTTTCCCCCCCTGGGGTTGCCTCAGCTGTGCTAGGCTTCTTTTCAGAGAGGATTACACAGGGATTCTCCCACGGAGCAGCCCCCTGCCCTCTTCCCGCTATCCCATCATTGTGTACTCGGCAGGCTCCACCTCAGCCTGTTCTTCTAGCAACCCTTTCAACCTCAAGGAAGCCCTCCACACCCACTCTGTGCCCTAGTACAGCAGCCATCTTCCTGGCCACCTTGTGTCCTTGATTCCATGAGTCTGTGGTTTTCCCCAGAGGCCCCCAAGCCACGTGCTGTGGAACACCCCCAGGTCTGACCAAGGAGCAGGGAATCACAGTCCTTGGGGGGCCCGTGGTGCGCTCGGTGTTTTAGTTTGTGCCCTTTCATCTACTTCCAGAAGCCGGTCGCTACCACAGTGTCCCCCCAAATCCTGCAAAATGGGCAAGTAACACGAACTGATGAGTCTGACCGCCCTCGAATGCAGCGTGTGATGTGGATGGGACTGGCAGGATCTCATGTCCCCAACTCCACCCTTTCAAGGCAGAACTGAGGATCCCCAAAGTCACAGCTTATCTGAATAGCACCCTTCCTGCCTCCCCCCCGCCCGGTTTGGTTCCAGTGAGACCACAAGTGGCCAGGCAGGGAGTTTCCACGCCTCTGCTTGGCCCCACTGCCTTCCAGTGATGGTCAGATCTCTAGCTGGTCTCCTGCCAGCCTGGGGACATGTGGAGGCGATTTTGTGGAGGAAAAACTGAGCTCACCTTCACAAAACTGCACTTCTTCAAATACATTGTCTCGGCAGATCTGCCTTCCCTCCCTCCCTTCCCAGCTGGGAGGGTCAGGTTCAAAGGCGGCTTAGAGGCCCTTGCTGGACCCTGGCTGGCCAAACCAGGATGTCTGGGCATCGTGGGTGGATGCTGCTTCCTGGCTAAAGCCTTGAGTTTAGGATGTAGAGGCAGCGGGTGGTGCAAAGACCGAACCTGTGAGTGGGTGCATCCGGCCTCGCCTCCCCACAGTGCTGTGCAAAAGTCCCCAACACCTCCATCAATCTCTCAGACTTTCCAGTGGGAATAGGGGTGGGCGGCAGGGTGCACCCACAGGGCTGGGCATAGAGGAGACTGGACTATGATGTGGGAGATGCAGGGTAAACACACAGGAGCCGTCAAGGAAGGCCACGTTTAAAGGAATCAAAGAGTGCCCAGTAAGGGGCTGGGAGTGAGAAGCCAGCAAGTCGGTCCCTGCTGAGTTATGGGGCGTACATGACTATCATGCTGTGGTTACTCTCAAGAAGCTTCTATGGCCTCAGCACTGTATTGTGTGACCCCCTTCCTCAGGCCAGGCAGATCTGTGAGGATGCCACCAGGTCGGCAATGATTCTTCCTTTACCTGGGTGGGGACATGAGAGGGAGGTCATCAGCTCCACCCCTGCAGGCAAAATCCGCACCGTTCCTTCCAGGCAGGCCAGTGCACTAGGGTTTCTGGAGCACCCCTCCAGGATGGACACTGTCCTCCCACTAACAGTGCCCTAGAGGACCACGGGACGAAAGACCTAACATTCAGTCTTGGTTAAAATCATGGCTTTCCACAGAGACTCTGTAAAATGCCAGGCAATGTGTATACATTTGCCAAGAGCTATAATCCATTTTTTTTCTAGTAGTAGAAAAATAGTTTCCAACTTATCTTATCCATGGAACACAGCATTTCTGCTGAAAAGGACTCTCGACTGCCGGAAGACAAGGTTGGGAGTGGGGCCCAGAGTCTTCCCTGGTTGTCTTTAGACTTCTTGTTTGGGGGTCCCCCCATCCTTTCTAAGGTTCACGCTGCCCCTGTGGCTTTTAGGTAGGCAGGATTCCTCCTGTTCCAGAAGAGGGTCTCCCCTCAGAGGTGCCTCCCTTGCTGGCAGCATGGTGTGCCCCTAGGAACCAGGCGTCGGCGGGCATCACTGTTTGGTCCAGGAGTCGGGCTGGGGGCTATTCAGTTTGCCAGAGTTTCCGGGTGAGCACGCATGTTTAAATTGTTCAAGTGCTCCGAGCTATGAGCTATGCAGTCATCAGTGCAGCTGTCACGGTCACCCATCGGCAGAACCCTTTCCTCTGTGAGTGTAGGGGAGGGGGTGGAGGACGCATGTCTGTGGAGGCCCGTGCTTAACCTCAGGTGTCTTTATCAGTCACTGCCCACCTTCTTTTTTGACCGAGGGTCTCTCATTGGCCGGGGACATTTAAGTCAATCAGGCTTGGCTGGCCCACAAAACCTCAGGTATCCACCTACCTCCACCTCTCCAGTGCTGGAATTACAGGCACATACCATCACACCTGACTTTATGAAACATGGTTTCTGGCAATGGAACTTAGGTCCTCACAGTCCCACAGGTCAGTGGATAAGTGAGCTCTTATCTACTGACCGGCCTTCCCATCCTCCTCCTGCCTTACTGATTCTCTGATTCTCTTTTGGCCCCCTTAATCAGTCGCTCCATAGGCCCACCCCAACCCCTGACTCTCCCCTTCCTAATTCCTACCCCTAGAAATCTGATTCCTGGGGTTGGAGAGACTTGGATGCTCTCCCAGAGAACCTGGGTCCGATTCCTATCGTCCACATGGCAGCTCGTAACTGTCTGTAACTTCAGTTCCAGGGTTCCATACCCCTTCTTCTGCCTGCACAGACTTACATGCAGGCAAGACACCCCTACACGTCGAACTAAAAATCTAAAATTAACCCGACTCTCCTGGGGCCTCATAGTGACGTCATACAGCATCTATCCTGGGGCTGCTTGTAGCTGAGTAAAACATACTCCAGGTCCATCATCCGTTCTCACGATGGCATGTGTCAGAACATTCTGTTTAAGGTTGAGTAGTGTTTCACTGCCGGCATGTGCCGCGTTTTCTCTCTGAGCATCCTTATGGGCTCTTGTAAGTTATGCTGCAGCGAACATGAATCTGTGGATGTCTCCTGGAGACCTGTTTTCCTAAGTGCTGTGACGTTTCAATTAAGCATTCGTTGAATGCAGAGCTGGCTGTGCCATTTTCCTGCAGGGCTTGGCACCTCCCAAGCTTATTTTACCCATGCAGCACATCATCCTGAGGTCCTTGGTAGCCTCTTAAGGTCACAGGGTGTTGAGTGTTGCCTGACAGTCAGTGTGCCTGGAGAGTTGAGGGTGTTAGAGTCTGAGGCACCCCAAATGCTGTGCTGTTCTGGTGGGGATGGGTGACCCAGGCTGCACGGTGCTGGCAGTCCCCTGGACTCTTAGGCTCATTCAGATCTCATGTGACTCCACTTTGGTGTTCCTGTTGGGGTGTGGAACTCAGCAGCTGACTCCAGACTTGGGGTCTTGACCTGGCATGTCTTAGGGTTCCCAGGAAGTGCGTGAGGACTTGAGGAAGAACAAGAGAGGGCCACACCCAGGATGGATTGGCTCCAAGGAGGAGCGGGACCCTCACTGACCCGATGACTACCCAGGAGTGGTCTGGGGACATAAACCAGGAATGAAAATCCTGTGCCCCAGCTCTTGTGATCGTCCTCACTTTCCCACTGCTACCTTGCACACTTGATCTGAAGTGCTTGGGAAGGGAGGTGGAGCTGGTCCTGGCCCACACCCCTGGGCCCATGGCAACCTTGTTCCATCTGCACCAGGAGGGTGATGTTTACTGGTCCTGGAGTCCTGGTGACCCAAAAATCCAGTGATCCTTGGGCACTCTGTCAAGACTTTATGGCACAGGTGACCTTCTGCCATCCAGCCACCTCTGGCTACCTTTGGGCACACTAAAGTCTGAACAGGCATTGGCATGAGTCCCCTAAAAGCATGCAGAGTCTAGGCCACCCCAGGGGTCTGAATTCAGAGTCTTTTATGGTTTCCCTTCTTTTTTGTTCTAGTATGTATGTCCACACATATATGTGCAATGTGCGTGTGTCCATGTGTGTGTGCATGCATATGGAAGCTAGGAGTCAACCTGTCATTCCTCACGTACCATCCATTTCGTTTTGTAAATTTAATTTTACTTATTGTATCGTGTGTGTGTGTGTGTGTGTGTGTGTGTGAGAGAGAGAGAGAGAGAGAGAGAGAGAGGTGGGGTGTGCCTTTGACACCACATATCTGGAGGCCAATGTGGAATCAGTCCTCTCTTTTCACCTTTACATGGGTCCCAGGGATCAAACTCGGGTCGTCAGGCTTGTGTGGCAAGTACTTCTCTGTGGAGGCATCCCGTCAGTCCTCCTTGTTGTTTGATTAACACAGAGTCTCTCACTAGCCCGGAACTCAGTGATTTCTGTAGGAGCGCACACTAATGTGCCCCAGAGATCACCCTCTTCCCGGTGTTTTCTCCCCAGGCCACTGTGCCCAGAGGCCAGGGTTCTTGAGTTTGCAAGACAAACGCTTTATCAGCTGAACCATCTCCTCATCTTTGCTTTTTCCTTTTTTAGACAGAGCCTCTGTAGCCTAGGCTAGCCTTATGTTCCCAATTCCCCAGACTCAGTTTCTCAAGCACGCGTGGGCCCCCACACCAGCTTTCTATATCTATGGCATTTGCCTGTGACCCATGTCTCTGCTATTCGGATGCTGCACTGCAGATGGGAATCAGTCGTCTACTGCGGATTCCTTAGAGGTGCCCGGGTCAGTGGGCCACTCACTGAGCAGAGGCTGGACAGGGACAGGCAGGAAGGAAGGAGGAAGGCAAGCAGGGCAGAACGGCAGAGGCCAGCTCAGCTGGAGGACCGTTGGCTCCTAGTGTGGCATAATGTAGCCCAGTGGGGCCTCCCACCATTTTTCTCTTAAAGGAAGAAAAAACAAAAACTGGAACCAAACAAGAGTAGCCCCTTTGCGTACCAGCTGGGTGGAGGAGCTGTGACAGAGGCCAGTGTGCACAGAAGGATGGCCCTTTGTCCTCCGGGTGGCCCTGGAGGACACAATGGTTTCCTCTGACACTGTGAGGGATCCCCTAGGCTTGAGGCTCTGGGGTGAGGGAGGGTGGTCACTGTAGAGGGTCCCTGCTCCCTTAGTCATGTCCCAGGGCAGCCACACTTACTCTTCCTTTCGGGAGTTGATCAGCTGGTATGTTGTGTTCCCAGAGGCTCAGTAATCTGGGGAAGGTGGTGTTATGTCCCTTCTCCCACTTGGGGTAGTCACTGGGGTGGGGGGCTTCCTCCATCCCTATTTTATAAAGAGAGAGACTAGCCAACTGGCAACTCACCAGTGGGGACTCGTGTGTCCTACACACCTCTCCCAACCCCAAGAGCATCTGTACTTATGACTCAGCCCAAGATGACACGTGGGGACAGAAGTGTGGTGGGGTCAGAGCAGCCTCTAGGAAACGCTTCAGTAGCATGTGCTGCTGCTGAGCCAACGGGTGTGCCTGATACAACGGATGATGCCTCGGATCCTTGTCAGAGCAAAGCAAGGACATTCACCGGAAGAATGTTTCTGATGCCCGGGTGGTAGTGCATGCCTATAAGCCCAGGTCTCTGGAGGCTGCAACAGGAGATTTTTACCAAGTTAAGGGACAGCATGGACTACAGAGGGAAAGTCTGTCTCAAAAAAGGGGAGAGGTTGGGAATATGGCTCAGTAGTAGGTGTGTGTCTAGAATACTTCAGAGAGAAGCTAAATACACGGCTCAGTGGTAGAGCCCCTGCCTAGAATCCCCCAGTGAGGGGCTGGGGTGTGGCTCAGTAGTAGAGCACCTGCCTAGAATCTTTCAGTGAGGGCCTCGGGTGTGACTCAGTGGTAGAGCACCTGCCTAGAATCCCCCAGTGAGGGGCTGGTGTGCAAGGCCTTGTGTTCAACCCCTGGCACCACAAAAAGCAACAAAAACAATGATCCTGGCAGCGTCGTGTGGTTATGACAGCCCAAGTCCATCTAGGCTCTAAGACTCAAGGAACCAAGTGGCAGACTGAGGGTGGCACTGAGGAGGTCCTGGGAGGGATGTGCATCCTCACTGAGCTACATGTTCGGATTCAGGGGGGCGGGGTTTGCCACCTGCAAGTTAACTCTCCATGCATCGGGTCCTGCAGAAGCCTAGGCAAGGTGGCAATGCCAGCTCTGAGACCAGAGGGGAGGCTGTGCCCTACCTTTCCTGGGCTGTGGAAATGAAGCAAGGCCCTGAGGGTATACTCTGCCTTCTGTAAACTCTTGTCTGAATTCCCAGATCACTCCCCTCCCCCTCTTTTCCCTTCCTCATTCCCTACAGCATTTGGTGGCATTGTTTCCAGATTCTTTGTGGATCTTTTTGGCTCTAGATTTGTTGTTGTTTTGTTACTTTTTGCTTTTTTGTTTGTTTTGATTTTGTTTGTTTGGTTGGTTTTTTTGAGATAAGACCTCCCTCTATAACTGAAACTGGTCTGGAGCCCATCATCCATCTGCCTCAGCCTAAGGTAACAGGTGTATAACACCCTCTTTTATGGTTTTTAAGGGCTAGATGTACCTGCCTCTTCCTCTCTTAAGCACCCTAGCTCCCTTTGGGGTTTGGGGAACCAACCAGGCCAGGTGGGAGGAGCATACATCCCATCTGGTAGAGTCCTGTCTTTGGGAGGCCCTGACTTCCCCAACCCCCCATCTTTGTGGCTAGCCAGTCCCTCTCCATGCCTTGCTCACTTCATCGTGGCGTTACAACCATCACCTGTGAGGCGTTCTCTTTCAGACAGAAATCTCTGTGCCTCAGTTATTACCGGATAATGAGACATTGATTTCAATAAGAATCGCTTCCATGATTCATCACAATCCATTCTTCGAGTACACACCCGTTTTAGCAGTGGGAACGGTTCTGTATGCTCATTGAGACGCTGAGGGAGAAAGCATGCATTGTGTTAATTTATAGTAACCGAGCTGCATAATCGCCCCGGCAACGAACAATCTGCCCATTCTGTGTACTGGTTGGGTGTGGGCCCCCCAAGTTCTGTGCATAGTGCACACTCTGTGCAGGGTGCGTCGCCCGCGCGGTCTGAAAGGGAATCTTGTCCCGGCTTCTTCTCGGTGCAGCTTGGTAGTGATGCCTGGCCGGGGGCTCAGCTAGGCCACTGGCCAAAAGACTTGGGTACTTGCCTTGGTGGCAAAGTTCCAGAGGAGAAGGGGACAGTCAGTGTGCACCCACAGGGGTGGGACAAGGGGGTCAGAGGGATACTCAAGCAGAGGGACCCCTGAATTGCCAGAGAGGACAGGCAGTTTTGTAAACAGGAAAGGCAAGAGACAGGATGTTCGTCTGGGTCTATGTATAATGTTAGAACAACTCATTGGGGTTCAGTCAGAAAAACTGGGGCTCAGAGGGACAGAGAGGTGATCTCAGGATGGGCAAGCTGCTCAGGAGGTAGCTGGCACACATTGTGTTCTGCCCTCTGGTCCTGACCTGCTCTTTGATGTTGTGTGCTGCCCAGGTGTGGCTCTGAATAGGATGGGGTGAGGTGGGATGGGAGCTCCTTGGAGAGTGGTTAGCCTGTGGTTATGTCCAGAGCAGGATTATGCAAGAAGTGGTCCAAGAGCTTTACAAGGCTCCGATCAATTCTCACTAGGATGGACCGTGGATTCCCCGTAGAGGAAGCAGTCTTTGTGACACACATGTCTCACGGCCTTTCTCTTCTTTTCTCTGAAGGTGTATGTGAACGGTGAATGGGTTACCAACATCAGTGAGGGGGGAAGCTTCGGAGAACTAGCTCTCATTTATGGCACCCCCAGAGCAGCCACCGTGAAGGCCAAAACGGACCTCAAGCTCTGGGGTATCGATCGTGACAGCTACAGGCGCATCCTCATGGTGAGTGGAACCCTGGCCAGGGGCTTGAGGGGAGGAGGCAGGGCAGTAGAGTCTACACCACCAGAAACCCGGGTCTCAGGTCAAGATGTGTCTGCCTAGTAGACACAGCCCTTGCCATGAGTGCAAAGTATCAGAAAAGGTTTGGGGAGCTTTTTAACAGGAAGTTAGCTGGGAATGTCTCTATTGTGTTCCCCCATTTAAAACAGGAAGATAGCTGGGAATCTCTATTGCAATTCTCCGTTCTCTCTTTTCAGAGACTTAAGAATGTGGTTGTAGTGGCTGGATCTCCAGTCCTACCATTTAGGACCATGAGGTCACATGGAGAATAAAACTCAGAATCCCTCCAAGGTGACATTAGGGTAAAGGTTAAAAGGCACCGTGGGGACACAGTGTACACAGGTCTTGGGGGTGGCTGCTGCTTGGAGCACAGCAGCCTGCATGGGGAACACCATGAGAAGAGAAGGAAAGTTTCATCCTAAGGAGTCGGGAGTGCTCCATCCTGAGGCCCCCACAGCCCCCTCTGCAGCCCACCCTCCTGACCTCTGACACGGAGCTGCTAGAGTCACAGAGGGACATTGGTCCGACTGGGACTTGAGATTGGGCATCCCAGTGAGAACTGAGAGTGGCCGTAGGCTGAGACATTCCAGAGTGTTCCCCAGAATAGCTCAGGATGGAGCCCATGTGCCCAGTCACTGAGGTACAGAGGGCACATCCTGTTGTCTTGAGGTGATGCCAGCTCTTCGGTAGGACACACTCGTGGACCAGCACAGTCTTGGAAGGCAGCTGTCCCCAGGGCCAGCATGCTTGGCACGTCAGGGCTTCTGTACTGCTCTGGGCACAAAGACACAGAAGAGCACCATCGTCCTTTGTCTCCAACATGCTCCCGATCCGCAGGGACCTGCCTGTCCCAGTGGGAGGGTGTGATGGGGGATCCTCCCACCCTGCCAAAGGACACATTCCCGGTCCCCTCTGAGCACACCTGGCTTGGAGTTGCACAAGCATTGTTTCCCTACCGTCTCCTCTGCGCTGTGTCATTGCTGGCTGTGGGACTTTTGTGGTCAGGACTTTATATTCAGGAATGCTCTCAAATCGCAGAAGGAACTGGCATTTTCTTTGAGTTAATTTCGGATCCCCGGACACTAAGAATAACCCATTTGGGCTCCAGAATCGGCAGAGCTCTTGTGGAGAATTTGAATCCTGTCCGCACCCATCCCTGTCTAGGCAGATTTGGATACGTCCAAATCACCCCCACTGAGGGCTCCCGCCTTAGCATGGACTCACAGTGGGAGACGCAGAAAATGAAGAGTCGTCAGTGTCCCAAGGGAGTTAGCTACAGCCCACAAGGTCAGCTCAGACTCCATATTAGAGTTGGAAGTTGGTGACTTCTAATTTGGAAGTTTCCTAAGTGTCTCTCCTTGCTGCTTTGTCTAAGGGACACACAGAGCCCAGTGCTGGGCAGAGTTGGGGGCATTGTCACCTGTAGGACTCAGGTGAGGGCTCAGCAGAGACCAACAGTCCACGAGTTTCTTTCCTTTTACTTAAGCCTTGGGCCTTCTGTTCGTCTGCCCCTTTTTGGGGACCTTGTGTCTGCAGCTAGTGAGTTAGGAATTTTTAGTAGAGGGGCTGGATATGATTCAATTGGTACAAAGCCCTGGGGTCCATACCCAGCACTGCCTAAACCAGGCACAGTGGTCCATACCTATAATTCTAATACTCAGGAGGTGAACATCTAAGTTCAATGTCATCCTCAGTTACACAGCAACTTTGAGCCCAGCCTGGATTACATGACACCCTGTCTCCAAAGGCGGGGGTGAGAGTCTCATATACAAAATTGAACTGTGCAGGAGAAGTCATACTGGGGTCTTCCAAGACCTCTGTATGATGTGTTCTGAGTCCGTGGGAACTTGTGTCTTAAGCAGATATGGGTCCCCATTCCTAATGCCACTGACTCTGAAGGACCCACATCTTTACTGACTCTCTAAGCCAAGAACCAGGCTTCCTCCACTTCATAGCGTAGGTGGTGTGACCCCTGCAACCTCAATGCACCGCCTATCTCTTTTTTAAATTTTCTGAGATGAGCTTAGTAACTCACAGGGGTTCACACGGCCTGGGAGTAGATGACCCCTCCACCCTTGCCCAGAGTGAGAACCCCAAGGCAGTGAGAAACTGCTGCATGCACAAAAGTGGCTGAGAAATTTCTTCTGAACCGTTGCTTATGCTGCAGTGAAGGGGTGGGGATGGGGTATGTGCTCCGAGGCTTCAGGTGACAGAGAACCTTCCGTCAGGGCCAGCTCCTTGTCCTGGGTAACAAAGGTGGCCCGGCTAGGACAGTCTGTGCTGGGAGCTAGAATCACATCCCTGGTTCCAGTTCTTCTGAACCATGGGGTAGGCAGAGTTCACCATGGACCGGGTATGGTTCTCAGCATCGTGTGTGTGTGTGTGTGTGTGTGTGTGTGTGTGTGTGTGTGTGTAGGGGGGTGGTAGGGTCTTTGGTCCCTGGTCTCATTGTCTTACCTGGAACACCCTGAGCAAGGCGGGCCCTCTGCATATTCGGCAACCACCAGCTTCTCCTGTCCACACAACGATCCTCTAACCCAGCCTCAGCCTCATGCCAATTCGTTTGAGAGTCAGGCAGTCTCTGCAGGTGTGTGTGGGGGGCAAGGAAAGACCCTAGGGACCGTGGGAGGTGAGTCTGTGCTCTGCCCTTCGGTGTCCCCAGGCCCATGGTCTTGGTCAGGATCTTAGCTGAGGTTTCCTTTCCTGTGACAAAATAGTTCAGCGAAAGGTTTAGGGGACAAAGGGCTTATTCTGGCTCTGGCTCTGAGGTCCCATCCATCATGGCAGGGAGTCACAGCAGCAGGAGCCAGAGGTAGCTGGTCACCTCCCTGCCACAGCCAAGGAGCGCTCTCTAAGAACCGGAACCAGTACAAGTCGCTCTCCTTTGCCTTTAGTTCAGGACTAATCAAATGGTGCCGCCCACATTCCAGGTGAACATTCCCAGCTCCATTAACACAATCAAGATAATCCCTCCCAGATGTGCTCACAGATTAACCACACCAACATCATCCCTCACTGAGACTCCCTGGTGACTCTAGATTCTGTCACGTTGACATCCACGGTGCAGGTGCCAGGGGGACAGGCAGATGGAGGCCCTGTACCAAGCTGGCTACTTGGGGAGAAAGCTGAGCTAGCCTCTGCAGACAGGTTCCTAGGCTGAGCCCCATTGGAGCCATCTTGGGTTTGCTGTCTTGCATGCTGTAAAGGCTACTAAACTGGGAATCCCCGGTGTCACCAAGAGGCTTAGCAGGTGACGGCTCAGCGTAGGAACAAAGCAGTCTGGCTTCACCTGCTGGCTGACCACTTCCCTAGGCCCCAGGACATTTTCAGCCTTATCCTGCCCACTGAACCAACATTAGCATCTGAGGTTCCTGGGTCACGACCTGCCTGCATTCCGCTGGGAAAGCTTAATTGCTAGGTGGTCAGTGGGGACTACACGGTTTCAAAAGAGATGCCTTTTTTAAGGGCTGGATAGCATTAAAATGGTTTGGGCCAGGTCATTGAGCAGGCTGTTGCCACCACAGCCACCCCGACTCGCACCCATCAGCAGACACAATAGTTCTGCGTCACCAGAGTCTGGACACTGGCTTTCCAATTGTGCCATCGTGTTGTCATGGGAACAGACTTGTTCCAGCCTCCGCTGGCAGAACCATCATCTAACTGTCAGGGTCTGGACAGCTGAGGACAACTTAATGTGGGACATTGAGTCCCTAGCCCTGTTGGGAACTGAGTTATTTTTCTCATTACTCTGACAAAATACTTAACCAAAGCAACTTAAGAGAGGGGAGGTTTATTGTGGCTCATGGCTTTAAGTACAGTCCTTCATGGGCCACAGTAAGGAAGGGGGGGGGGGGGAGAGAGAGAGAGAGAGAGAGAGAGAGAGAGAGAGAGAGATTCCTTTTTCTTTTGTACTCAATCCAGGACCCCAGCTCATAGAATAGTGGTGGTTTCTCCCATGTTTAGGATGGATCCTCCTATAAATAACCCAACTGGAAGTTCCCTCACAGACATGCCCAGAGGTCTGTCTACTAGGAGAGTCTAGATCTTGTCAAACTGAGCATCAGGATTAACCATCATGGGTCTTTCCCTAGGAAGTCGACATCTTAGGGACATACATGCTGTGGGCGGAGACTGCCCAGACCCGAGATAATCACACAGAAACCATATTAATTAAAACAATGCTTGGCCTATTAGCTTAGGATTATTAACTAACTCTTAAAGCTTAAATGAACCCATTTCTATTATTCTGTGTATTGCCACAAGGCTGTGGCTTTCCAGGTAAAGTTCTGGTGTCTGTCTCCTTTGGCAGCTACATGGCTTCTCTCTGACTCCACCTGCTTTCTCTCTGTATCTCTGTTCAGATTTCCCCGCCTGGCTTTATTTTGCCCCGCCATAGGCCCAAAGCAGATTCTTTATTAACCAATGGTAATAAAACGTATTCACAGCATACAGAGGGGAATCCCACATCAACATGTGACTCTGGGTTTCTAGGATTGAAACTTAGCCAGCTTATCAGTGCTGGTTTGAACCAGATTTGAGGGAGAAGTTGAGGCTCAAATTGGGGATAGAGCTGGGGTCCTGTCACTGTATTGAGTGCCAGTCTCCATGGAGACCCTTTGGGGGCAGGTTTTAATATTCCCATTGAGCAGATGAGGAAACAGAACTCAAGCAGTCAGTGAGAATGGAGGCCTGAGCCCAGGCTTTCTGACAGCGAGCGCAAGCAAGCTCATCATCCTCCAACCTCCCCCAGGCTCGTCACTGGATATGCTCATGGGCTGCCCCTCCAAGCTCTGTTAGTATCCCTACAGTACCTTACACTCACCCCCCCTGCTCCTATCGGCATATGAATCTTGGTCATGACACTCACCACCTCAGTGTGTTCCCCAGAGTCCCATAGCACTGTTCTCGCTTCACCCTGTGCTTTGCCCAACCCCTTCTCTGTGTCCCCCATGTTCCTCTCCTCCATCACCCCCAACTGTTATACAAGGCTGGTTTCTCCCTTGACACCTGACTACTGGTCTTTAAGTAGGAACTTCCTGGGCTGTCCACGCTACCTTCTAGGGTCCTCAAGTCAGGGTGGCGGGGTCTGGCTGGTAAGAGCTCTGGTGCCTGCAAATGCCTCTGTGTTTCACCCTGGGCATCACCCTTTCACTGTTGGTACATGATTACTCAGGGATAGATTTCTCTCCTGGCTCATCCTGCTTTAACTGGACTGTGGGTACTTGTATCTTTAAGAGGTACCCAGCCATGAACATCACACTCTGAGTGTCCTAGAGGGCACTGAGCTGCAGAGAGAGCAGTGAGCTGTCTCTGCCACTGACTGATAGGCACCCAGGGACTCCTCTGTGGCAGCTAGCCCCACCCCCATGCATGTCTGTCTACATGGCATTGAGTCCTCTCCACCTGTATGGAAGCCTGTCTAAAAGCTACCTGTGTGGTTGCACACAGCTGCTTCTGGCTACTCAGCCTGCACCAGAGCATGGGAGGCTGATGATACCGCGGCTATGACATCAGACAGATTGGACCACCTTAGCTCTGCTTTGTGCCAGTCCTACGCCTGGGCACAGGGTGTGTGAGTCCCCCAGTACAGGGTAAGAATGGAGGTTGATCACATGGTACAGCACATAGCAGTGGCTTCATGGCAGGCTGTGTGAACTCATGTTTGTAATCCTGGTACTTGTGGGAGGGGTAGAGGGGGGGCTGGAGACAGAATCACAGGGTCTAGGTCAGCCTGGATGACACAGTGAGTTCGAGGATAGTGTGGGCAACAGAATGAAACTATCCTTCAGCAAAGAAAAGAACCCTGGTGTAGTGGTACACAGCTTTCATCCCAGCATCCAGGAAGCAGAGGCACGCAGATCTCTGTGTTAGCAGCCAGCTTGATCTACATAGAGAGCTCCAGGACAGCAGTTTCAGCCCCCAACTCAGTGGACAGGAGCCAAGCCGTGACCTTCTTTGGGCTTCTGTTTCCAATCCAGTAGAGATACAACAGCTGTCTCTCGGAGATATGAGGTCCATCAGCGGCCAGGGCAAGGTCTTGACTATGCCTCTTGAGTGGCTGGGCTGCAGGGGGCTGGTGCCCCTCGGTACCTATCTGCAGCATGACTCATCCCATTTCTAATGATTAGGGCCTTGTCTCCGGCTGATGCCCTCCTGTGTCAGAACAGGAAATAAAGAGCCTCAGCTTCTGAGCTGAGGTGTTGACAGCTTTGTCTGAGCAGTGGTTTGATGTCACAGAGGGAGAAGGGGGTCCCAGGTTAGAGACAGCAGCCGGGTCATGGACATGATGAAGAACCTGAGACCTTGCAGAGGACACGATTGTTCCAAGAACGTGGGCACTGATGGGCTGCCTCTGCCTGGAAAGACAATGTGCTGACCCTCTCTAAGAGCCCTTCTCCGGGTTACCCAGGAAGGTTCACACCATTATCTTCATGGTCACAGTCACTAACACCACCCTCTTTACTATTGCCATCAATCAGCACCATTGCCAGCATCATCACCATCCTCCTCATCATCTTCATCACTGGCATCACATCACCACCATCACCACCACCATTTTGACTATCAATAGCATCATTGCCACCATCAGCATCAGCATCACTGCCATCACCTCCAACACCATCATTATCATTATTATCAAAACCATCGTCACTATTATCAATACCATCATCACCATCATCATTACTGTCAACAACACTATCACCACCATTACCATGAGGAGCAACAACAACTTAAATATTGAATCTCTGCCCTCGTAACAAAGGATTGAAACATCTCATTTCCCTAGGACTAGTAACATGAAAAGTACGCCCAGATTTACCCTATTCATTTGCACTGAAGTGTCCATCCCCTTAGGAACTCGGCCTGGCCATGTGAGGCCCTAGGATGGAATGGGAGGGCATCCATACCCTTATTCCTTCAACTCCACTATTGTGTGGGCCTCAAGTGGTACCTGCAGTAGGCTTCATATTCTTTCTGAAAGCGGGAAGCCCATGTCAGCCCCTAGTCTGTGCTCTGGGTGCTGAGACCTCAGAAGGTGAGCATCTTGAGGCAAACAAAGGTTGACCTTGTCCACAGCTAGGGAGAACCCCATGCTCTGACCCTGTGGAAACTGTGGTTTGCCCTGGAGCCTCGAGGGCCCTTCCTCCTCACTTCATCGCTGCTCATATTTTTGTCATGGCTTTCCAGGGACTAGCATTGACTGACACACGCCTTCAGTCCAGTCTTTCTCCCGAGAGTCCTTTTTTTCCCCTTAGCAGGGCTACACTGACTAACTTTGGCTCATGGCTTTGAGTTCAGGTCCATGGGCTGACCCATACCCTGTGTGGAGGGGCTTCCTGCTGCAACCCTTATTTCCTGTGCGTTGGAGCTACCCGCAGTGAGCCAAGTTGACAGAGACACAAACCTCCTTTACACAGGACTGAACCTGCTGCCGGAAAGCAGAGCCACGGAACAGGGTTTGTCCCTGTTAGCCCAGAGAAGGGCAAAATCTGTGACTCTGACTTTTCTTGACTCCTGAAGCTTCCGCTCTGAGCATGCAATGTGCTGGTCTCTCCATTTCTGCTCCCTGCCCCCCTTAGGGCTGTTGCAGATTGTGCTGATGTGCTTAGAGCTTAGCGTCAGGCCCCATGACGAGCATCTATACTATCAATGCCACCCCGTGTAAGGCCTGAGATTGCCGGTCTCTTAGGAGAGGCTGGGCCATGCCCCTCTAAAGACATGCTTTAGGGAGCGCCTCAGGCATTTGCAAACCTTTATGCATCAGTCCTCTCTCTCATGTCGGATCCATCTCTCCTTCCCTGACATCTTTCGGTGTACATCTTTGTCAGCAGACAGAGGGAGGGCTGTAGTACCAGAGACTGGTATTGACCTCAGGAATAAGAGAGCCCCAGCTGCTACGATGGAAAAGCAGGGCGAGCTCCTTTAGGACATCTGTGTCAGCTCGTCAATGGCCAGGCAGGGTGCGTGAGCCTCCCTCACCATTGTTCTATAGATGGCCGAGGGAGCTGGGAGGTCCGCTGGGTGGCTGGCGGTCCTGACAACCTGTCCAGAAGCCCCAAGGCTTTGTAAAGGTGCATGTCAGTGGTGCATCCTTGTGATTCAAGTCAGGGTGCGGAGGCAGGAAGATTACAGGTTAGAGTCTAGCCTGGGAAGAGCTGAGCAGGCACAGCTGTGTCCACCTTTGGAAACTTCAAACCTCATGGGCCCATGCACTGGGGTGCCTTGCATAGGGTTGGACCTGCTTGGGGTTTCTGCTGGTGGTGCTGGAAGTGGTTTCAGAAGATAAGAGATGAAGAACAGGAAATAAGAGATACAGGCTCACACTGACGTGCTCAACGGGGTTCCTCTGAAGAGATCAGTCGCTGAGAGAAATCTGCAAGTGTCAAAAGGCCAACTGAGACTGGAGACCCATCTTCTGTGTTCTGCTTTTTCTTCCACAGGGAAGCACGCTGAGGAAACGCAAGATGTACGAGGAATTCCTCAGCAAAGTCTCCATCCTAGGTTAGTGATCCTGCTGCTCGTAGCCTCTCTGCAGCCTCCTGTGAGTGCCTGCAGACAGCCCACAGCTGCTTCTCCCTGTATGGCTGATAGGTCATCTCTGCTTAGCATTATGCAGGTTTGGGACATGCATGCTCACATGCAAACACGGACACATGTGCGTGCCTCCCATAGGAGTGGCAGTACATGCTCACATACACACATACCACACATTCACCTATACTCATACACTTACACACATGCCTACGTACACACATAGACATAAATATGGCATGCATTCATATATATATGCACATTTGTGGTCCACGTTCATAGTACACACATTCATGCATATGCACACACGCACACTGCATGTTCATATATGTGCACATTCGCGATGCACCTTTATACAGGTGCATGTATACCTGTGAGCATGAATGTCATCCTGCCAATGTCCCCATCTTTTCCAAACTGTGTCTGCTTATCTCTCTTGCTGTCTTTGGTGCCACCATCCCAGCGCCGTGATTCTGAACTGAAAGTGAGCTCTTTGTTCTCGTTGCTGGAACCTTGTGCTAAGTGTCTTCCCCCTCCTTTTGGCTCACCTTGAGCATGGCTTCTCGGTGACATCACTGCCCTTCCAAGGCCACTTTTGTGTTCCATCCCTATGGCCTGTGTGTGGATGGCTGTGGGTTGTACTTGCATCCTGGGTTCATGTGCACAGTTGAGTCGCTCAGAGACCTTAGGAGAAGATGGGGATAAACTGGTTCTGAATACGAAGGAGGGCTCTGCTTGGCGCCTGTCCCTCTCAGTGCCTCTTGGACACAGAGGCTCTTCATACACTTTGTCCTACTGCTGCGAAGGCGTCTCCCTTCCTGCCCTTGATGAATTGCTGTAATCCTCATTTATTCATTGTCGTGAGATACTCGCAACAGCCTGGCTCAGGGAACCAAGCCCAGCGGCAGGGTGTGCAGGCCACAGCCATCTACCTAGGACCTGCTCTTTGCCTCAGCAGAGATTTATCCCCACAGGCAGTTGCTTACCACCCCCATCCTACTCCCCGCCAGCCGAGTCACTGCAGGTCCCTTCCTGCTTCTGCCTCTACCTGTATGTGCACGGTTTAAATGTTCTCAGATGTGTTGTTTCATTTAAAATTCTGGGGCCAAATACTGGCTGTCTCCCTTACAGCTATTTCAGTTTTCACCCAAGATTTATGATGTTTGGAGATAACGCTTTGGCAAGTCTTGTTTCCCAACCTTGGAATATTGCACACTTTAAATGCTATTGGGAGAAAAGCATCCTTAAAAACATGTATGGGGAGCAGGGAGGTGCTGCTGCTGCTGCTGAAGTCCAAGCCTTGTACATATTAGGCAAACATTTAATTGTTGAACCCTAGTTCCTCACTGGGGGATTCTAGGCAGGGGCTCTACCACTGAGCCACACCCCAGCCCCTCACTGGGGGATTCTAGGCAGGGGCTCTACCACTGAGCCACACCCCAGCCCCTCACTAGGGGATTCTAGGCAGGTGCTCTACCACTGAGTCACACTCCAGCCCCTCACTGGGGGATTCTAGGCAGGTGCTCTCCCACTGAGTCACACTCCAGCCCCTCACTGGGGGATTCTAGGCAGNTGAGTCACACTCCAGCCCCTCACTGGGGGATTCTAGGCAGGTGCTCTCCCACTGAGTCACACTCCAGCCCCTCACTGGGGGATTCTAGGCAGGTGAGCCACACCACTCACCTACAGGTAGCATCCTTACTACAGCCTCTATTGCAGTGTTTCACATCTACATTCCCGTTCTGCACCTGTTTCTATAATTTTGCTGAAAGTGACCTTATTCCACAGTGGACAGTATGCATTTCTACATTACTGTGAAGAGACACCGTGACCATGATGACTCTTATAAAGAAAAGCATTTAATTGGGGCTGGCTTACAGTTTCAGAGGTTTAGTCTATTGTCCTCATAGTAGGTAGCACGGCAGTCTGCTGGCTGAAATGGTAGCAGAGAGTTCAGCATCTGGATCTGAATAGAGTAGGAAGAGAGAGACACTGGGCCTGGCTTGGGCTTAAAGCCCACCCCCAGTGACACACTTCCTCTAACAGGGCCACTTTCAAGTAGTGCCACTCCCTAATGACCAGCATTCAAATCTTTGAGCCTATGGGAGCCTTTCCAATTCAAACCACAACACAGCCCAAGCTGGCCTTGAACTCACTGTATAGTCAAGGTTGGTATTGAAGTTCTCTGGTCCTGTGCCTCTATTTCCCAAGTGCTCAGATGACAGGCCTGAGCTAATATGCTTGGTCAGATAGTTTTTAAAGAAAACTGTCAGCAAGGCACCTGTGGCAATATACGTCTGTGAGCCTAGTACTCAGAAAGTTGAGGCAGGAGGATTATAAAAGTTCTAAAGTCAGCCTAGGCTACATTGTGAAATGTGTCTCAATAAATGAGAGGGGAGGAGACAAAGTGAGAAGGACAGAAAGAGAAAAAAGAAAAAAGAGAAGCAGACCCACTACTGTGTCTGGAGTAGACTCCCTGCCTACACTGCACAGCTGGGTTCCCTGTGGCATGGGGTTCATCGAGACGTGGCTCTTTTGCAGTGTGGGAGCACGAGCAGGGAATTTAGGGAAGAGATATTTCCCTGCTAACCTAGATCTAAAATGAATGCCTTTTTCAATTTTTATTTTTAGCAGCTGGCCTACATATGTAGTGTCTAAGCGTAGGCCAGAAAGGTTTCTTTCACTGCGAGGGGGCGGGGAAGGGGGTACGGTTAAAAAGGTGACCATGGTTTTCTCACAGCAAACTCCCATATTATTATGGTTTTTCTTTCTTCTTATCTGGGGGCCGGGGATGGGCAGTTTCAGGGATGGAAGGTGTGAGCAAGACAGCCTCGGCCTGCTGAGTCTCTAATCCTTTAAAGATAAACTCAGCATCAGAGTTAAGTTTGTTTGCCCAATGTAGTGGTAGGTGTGTCCTTTCTGAGTGTCACAACAGCAGTGCTGGTCGTGATGCTCGTAAACCCAGCCTTCAGGGAATGGAGGCAGGAGGATTGATTGCTGTGAGGCTAGCCGGGATGTCCTAGTTTCATTTCTGTTGCTGTGATGAAAACACCCTGACAAGAGGCAACTTGGGGGAGAACGGAGTCTGGGGTAGAGCTTCTCATGGAGAAGTCCCAGTGGCAGAGACTTGAGGCAGCTGGTCACATGACATCCACAGCAAAGGCGGAGAGAGAATGAATGCTTGCATGCTTAGGGTCCAGCTGGCCCCCTCTACTTTTACACAATCGAAGACCCCCAACTAGGGAATGGTGCCGCCCATTCAGGCTGGGTCCTCCCACATCCATTAAAGAATTAAGGCAATCCCCCAGAGACATGTACACGGTCCAGCCTGATCTAGACCATCCCTCCTTGAGACTTTCTTCTTAGAGTATTCTCATTATTTAAATTGACAATTGAAACTAACCATCACACGGTGAGTTCAAGCCCAACCTGGAATATAGAGTGAGACCCCGTCTCAGAAACAATCAAGAATCTGGGGAGATCGCTCCGCAGTTAAAATGCTTGCTGCCTAAGCATGAGGACCCGAGTTTGGAACCCAGCACTCACATCACTGCTGGCTGAGTGTGGGAGCCTGTTTGTAGTTCAAGTTTCTGGAGGCGGAGATGGGATCCCAGAGCAAGTTGGTGAGCAAGAAACTAATTATATCAGTGAGCTCTGGGTTTGATTGAGAGACCCTGCCTTGATAAATAATGTGGAAGAACAACGCAGGACGATTCCTGGCATCAACCTTGGTCCACCTCCACATGCACGTGCAACTTTGTGAACAGTCGTCACACACACACACACACACACACACAGACAGACACACACACGCGCGCACACACACACACAGACAGAGAGAGAGAGGAGAAAGAATAAAAAGACATACAAAACAATTGCTACATCAACTCAGCTCCCAGTCCTTGTCCTGCTTTGAGGGTGATGATGCTGAGTGGGGCATCCTACTTGTGTTAGTGAGTCGTCTAAAGTACACGTAGTTGTGGAACCCGGCTGTGATTCTTTGCAAAAATTAATTAATTCATTCAGTCCTACTTTTTTGGAAAGTAATTTCTCCTTAAAGTGAATATTGACTCGATTTTCAGTATCTGCTGTTTACCTTATGGAGCCAGTGATTCACGACTATTTTCAAACTGCATTTCCCATGAAAAAATTAAATAGGAGTCAAATGTGTGTACATTATTATTATTATTTCGTATTGAGGATGCAACTCAGGGTCTGGCACAAATTATGCAGATGCTCTACCACTGAGCCACACCCCAACCCCTCATTGGAGGATTCTAGGCAGGTGCTCTACCATTGAGCCCTTCACTGGGGGATTCTAGGCAGGGGTTCTACTGCTGAGTTCCATTTTCAGACTTCTTTTTACTTTTTATTTTGAGACAAAGTCTCACTAAGTTGTACAGATTGCCCTAGAACTAACTCACTATCCTAGGTGTGCCTCGAATGTAATACTCCTGCCTCAGCCTCCTGAGTAGTTGGGATGCAGATCTGTGCTCCCAACACCAGCTTATAGAGTCCATCTCAGATAGACTCTCATGGCAAGAGGTGCCAGCCCCTGTATTGAAGGGATGGATCTAGACTTTCAGTGTTCTGTGGTTTCTGCTGCAGCATTGTCTCCTCTAAAGAGCGTCATCTCAGATCGCCATCAGGAGTCTGAGGATTGGGCTTTCTGAGGCTACATCCAAGGACCCCATGGTAGTGGGGTGTGACCTGTGACCCCTCGTGTCTTCTTGCAGAGTCCCTGGAGAAGTGGGAACGCTTGACTGTGGCTGACGCCCTGGAGCCTGTGCAGTTTGAAGATGGAGAGAAAATCGTTGTTCAGGGGGAGCCCGGGGATGACTTCTACATCATCACAGAGGTGGGTCCTGTGCAGGCCGTCGGTGCCTCGGGTCTCTGGGGTACCCGAGTGGACGCTCGTGATGCTTTGGCGTACTCTCTACGCCCTCACCTAGCACCGCCCCCTCACAGTTCCTCCCCCAACTCTCCACATGGGAGAGCTGGGAGATGGTCCACGTTCTGGCCATTGGATGGTTTGCGGTTGAGATAAAAGGAGTATCTCCTTTAAAATGTTGGCGGGTGTGATGCCACTACATAATACACACACACACACACACACACACACACACACGCCTGTGCAATGGGGAGAGATTATTAGACAGGTGGATGGAGTCCACCTCAGAGCCCTGGTTTTCGATGTGTGCAATGGGGGTAACGATGCTTCATGTACACTGGATCTCTGTGCAGTAGTCAGCTTCCATTGCAATACCTAAGACAGCGTCGTAGGAAGAGAAAAGATTACTTGGGCTTGTATTGGGGATTTCCGTCTTTGGTCCCTTGGCTCCGTTGTGTTTGGGCCGGTGAGGCTGAACCAGGGGTAGGAGTTTATGGTGGGGCAGAGCTGCTCACTCTATGGGGGAGAAACAAGAGTGGGCTTGGGCCCCCCAATGCCATCTTCAGGGGCGTTTCCCCAGTGACCTTCCAATAATGTCCCCACCGCCCCCAAGAGTACTGTCGGGTGTTGTAAACTAATCCTTCCTTAAGGTCCTTTGGTTGGGAATTTTGTCCTAGCATGCGATGTTGGAGGCATTGGGAACCTCCTCTGGGTAAGGCTCAGGACACTCTTGAAAGGAACCTATAAGCTCAGGGAGCTCACAGGTGCCGTGGTGGGGACTTGCCCCTTCCCTGACTGGCTGAATGAATGCAGTCCTGCTTGAATGGGTGTTGGCCTCCACCTCAAGTCACCAAAGACGTCAGAAAGTCTGGGGTTTATGTCATGCTGAGAATAATGTTCCTGATGCCCTCCTTGCCTTCAGCGAAGGAGACTCATTCTGAGATGTTTCTTTTAAAAAAAAAAAAAAAAAAAAAAAAGAGGAAGATGGCCAGTGAGGTGGCCCAGCAGATAAACACTTGCTACCAAGCCTGAAAACCTGAGTTCAGTCCCTGGGACCCACATGGTAGAGAACACCCCCCCACATGCATGAGCACATGCACACATGTATGCACACATGCATGTCCACACATGCACATCCACTACAAACTTGGGTGCATACGTGCACACACACACATACTTGCATACATATATGCGCATGCAACATACTCGCACACACACATGCACACATACTCACACACACATATACATAAATAATGTAAAAAGAAGTGATCACTAGAGCCATGAGCAGAACAGAAGACTGTTCTAGTCAGGACTAGAAAGAGGCCACTTCCTTCATCCCAACATCTCAATCCCTAAGACTCAGGCCTTTATACAGGCCAAAGCCATAACCTTTGCATTACTACCTCTGTGTGTGTGTGGTAGTGGTGGTGGTGGTGGTAAAGTTGGCTTCACACAGACTCAAGGTTCAAGACGCCACCCCTGACCATTTTCGAAAGAAAGACATCTATCTGACAATCATCCAGCAGAACACAGTTCAGGCTCTAAGGTCCAGAGTGACAGCTGATATCCTAGTGGATGCAGAACTCCCAGCATGCCTGGCATGAGGGCATCTGCCCCTAGCCTTGCCCCCAGTGTTGCCTCCTGTCCCCTCCCCACAGTTCTGACTCTTTCTGTGTTTGGTTATGACTGTGGTCTTGTTGTGGTGCTGTTCTGAGTGCCTGTCGGAGCCCAAAGTGGTGTGCTGTAATCACACACACCTGTAATCCCACTACTCTGGAGACTGAGGAAGGAGGATTGGGGGTTCTAGGCCAACCGGGGCCACATGGAGTGACCTTGTCTCAATGAGGAAAAGAGTGTGTGGGGGTGACAACAGTGGCAGTCAGGCAGTCCCGATGACCCTCTTGTCTCTATGTCCCCAATTCTGGGCTTACAAGGATATGCTACTTCCCCTCAACTTTTTATGTGATGCTGGCATCAAACTCGGGTCCTCATGTTTGTCCAGTAAACACTTGGCTGACTGAGCTGTTTTTCCCCCATCTTCTCTCTGGCTTTCTGAGATAGAGTCTCATTCTATAAACCAGTTTGCCCATACCCTGCTCTGCTTTCTGTATTTCGTGTGTCCCTCCCCTCTCTTCATGTCTCTCTGGTGAAGGTGTGAGATTTGACCTCAGGGTGCCCCTGAGGTTCTGCGGTTTGAGGACAGTGTGCAGGCTGCCAGTTACCTTGGGGGAATCTCAGACAGGGGTGCTGGGTGCTTCTCTGTAAGTCCCCAATGTCCTCAATGCAGAGAGGTTTCCAAGAAGGCTACTGCTTCCCAGGGTGGCCTCACATCAATCAGCTTCCCCCTCCATTGAGTGGAGACGAGGGAGAGGCTGGGCCTTGTTCACATGAACAGCGTATTGTCTAGGCCTCCGAGACGTAACCCAACCCCAGGGAAAGGTATAGTTTTCGCAGCCTTATAAAATGTGTTTGAAGTGGTCTCCTTGGCAACGTGGCTTTCCCTTCACTACTTCCTCTGTGATCGGCTGAATCTGGCACGTCAACCCACAGACCCCAGGACCCCAGGTCCGCGGGGATGAGAGACGCTTAGAACCAGAATGTGCCGCAGGGGACAGTACAGCTTATTCACATGGCTTGGGGGCGGCTGCGGCCACATCTAAGCCAGATGTGCATCCAGGCTCAAACCCTCTGGGATGTGGGCAGGCGCGCCCAGCTGCCATGTCTGAGCTCCTCTCCTTGAGGCGTGAAGTCTCCTGTTTCCCTCACTCCTGGGCTGCCCCCACCCCTGCCCCTGCCCCGCCCCCTCTGTCTCACAGCCTCGTTCTGTAGTTGTCACATTTTCCTGGTGTGGATTTCCTGAAGTTGTTTTGTAAATTGTGTCCTTGTCAACTCGAGGAGGACACCGTAGTCCTGGGAAACCTGGATGCGAAGCCCACACCTCTATCTATAGCCTTGTCCTCGATCCCCAGTTTGCTGGGGGAGGGGATCGGTCTCTACCTATCCCTAAGCCTCAGACCCCTGAGAGCTCCAGGATGTCACTTTGGCAGATTAGGAAGTTGGATGGCCAGCTTTTTTGCTCCGTGGGGGTCTCTGCAGGGTGCAGCCCTCTGAGGCCACATAACTTGTTTCTCATTGCTATATTCACACCAGCTGTCCCCGGGCTGGATGGGGAAGCTTGCCAGTCTCCCAGACACCTGATCCTCAGAGCTTCTAGAAAACACTCAGCAGACAGGGCAGGAGCTGGGCGTGCCTCCCGTAGGCACGCCCACTGGTGGGAGCCAGGCGCCTAGAACACAAAGGTGGAAGGCGCTGGCCAGCCGTGGTGAAGGGCCCTGCTGCTTTCTGAGCGGCCCCCCCCCCCCCCCCCCCCGCTGTATTACCCTCCTGCTTTGCTCCTCCGCGTGCAACCTAGGGTGGGGTACCTGGGGCCAGGAGCCCTTGAGATGGGACAGAGCCTTTCCTGGGTCTGCCCCTGTGTTTGGCAAGACGCAGACTCTGGCTGGCCTCCCAGTGGCAGGTACTGTGTGCCTGGACCGGACCTGCCAGAACCTGGAGACAGGGATGATCTCATCTGGATCCAAGGTCGTCTCCCACAGCTCTCCAGGAAAACCCGAGAGGAGTCGGGCAGGAGCTGGGTGGGAGAAGTGAGTTCCCAGCAGCTCAGATTCCAGACTCGCATTCCTCAATTTAAGCTGCCACCTCCCATTCCTGCGCCCTGAGCGTCCAGGGAAGCAGCTGGACCGGGAAGGATGGCTTCCCATAAAATCCCAAGACTGAAATTGGGCAGCATAGAAGACGTTACCATGGGAACATTGGATTGGATTTATCTCCTTGCTTAGCAAATTAATTTTATGAATGTCCACAGTGTTGAAGGGACTATAAAACAACACGTCTCTCAGCTGCCCCCAGGCCTGGGAACACAGCTTCTGACATCAGAGTGCTTGCCTCCATGTTGGGGCTGAGAGGGCACCTTTGCAGACCTGCAGGAAGAAGGGCAGACACGCACTGTACCCTGGCGCCCCTGAGGGACATGTTTGCTCTGCTCAGGGTCGTTGAGTCTGGACCTGTGCCGGCCCCTGCTACACACCTGGCACTGTCTCCACGCAGTGTATTTATGCCTCAAACTCACTGTCCTTACTCATTGTCTCTGCTGTTCTCACGGCTGCTTGAACTGTTTTTCCTAAGCTCCTCTCTTTGGGAGTAGTGCCTGGAGAAGGTTTAGGGCCTGCAGGAGATGTGCGGAGCCCGTGCCTCAGATATTTCTCTGGAGTCAGCTTCCTTGGCTGTCGGCAAGGCAAGCACCAGGCCACCCTTGTTAGGGGTTTTAAACGAGGCAGACACTGTAGAAGGACACACGGGAAGGACGTTTGGAAAGGGCACTGTATTCCTTCAGTTCAGGACATCTCAGAGATACAGACAGTAACTGGATTTGGGGAGTAGGGTCTTAGGTCTGGGGTCTAGGGTGGAAGTGGCTAGGCAGAAGGATTGCAGAGGATTCTGGGACTTGGGCAGTTCTTGGAGCCCTGCTAGCCAGGGCCTTTGAGGTTGTTTTATTCTGGGTTTGAGGTGGCCATTCAAATTCTTGTCAAGAAATCACATGGAATTGCCTGTGTAGAATAAATTGAATAAGGGATTGGGGTAGAAGCAAGGCAAGGAGAAAGGCAAGAAGTTCTTTCCAGGTGACAGTCTATTGTCCTCAGGGAAAAAAAATCCATCAGAAGATGAGGAAGAGGAGGGCAGGCAGGGGATTGGGGCACTGAAGTTCAAGTAGAAGTTTTTGAGATAGGCAAGATGTCTTACAGATGGCGCAAGCCTAAGACCAGGGACCAGTTGTGCTGGATCTGCTGATACTGCACCACGTGGTAGAGAGGCTGCACAGAGGGCCCTTGGCATGGACTCTCAAAGATCGATGATGTTTGATGTACATGTTGCTGAGTGCGCCTGGCATGGGAGCACACAAAGTTGGA